TCCTTCCTTCCTTCCTTCCTTCCTTCCTTCATATCCAATGTAGGTCCTTCCCCGCTTCAGCTTTATTCAGGTTTAATTGACAAATGAAATTGTAAGATATTTAAAGTATATAATAATTTGATATACATATATTGTGAAAAGATTCTCCCCATTGAGTTCACACATCCATTACCTCACATATTTATCCTTTTCTTTGGTGGGAACTTTTAAGTCTATCCTTTTACCAAATTTCAATTACACGATATGTCATTATCAACTATAGTTGCAATGTTTTACATTAGATCCTCAGGCCTTATTTACCTTATAAATGAAAATTTGTACCCTTTCTCCCTACTTCCCTCAACCCCCAGCCCCTAGCAACCACCTTCTACTATTTCTCTGAGTTGAACATTTTTTTTTTTAAGATTCCACATCTAAGTGATACCATGCAGTATTTGTCTTTGTCTGGCTTATTTCACTTCGCATAAAATCCTCCAGTTTCATCCATGGTCTGAGGCATTTCTAAATAGTTCTGAGGTATTTATAAATAACAACCGATCCTCTCTGACAGCAAATTATTATTTTATTTGCTTTTGGGGTGATCTTGTGAGCAGAGGAATAAGTGGTTCAAAGGCTGTTGCATTGGTGAATCCCTTTTAAGAAATTATCTCTTTTGAAAAGTCAAACACCACAGCATCGTTAAGAATGATAGTTCATCAATGCAGCCTGTGTAAGAGGCCCAGAAATCAAGGTTTCTTTTTTCACGAAAGGCTGCAGCTATGATTTTAAAAGAAAATGACATAAATATTTGTCACAGTAGTTGCTATGTGGTACCAAGTCTTAATCTGTGTGCTAGCAATGGAATGTGTTTATTTGTGATAACCTATGATAATCCTAGCTGATACTTACTGTATTGCTGTACCAGAGCCAGGCAGATTGAAGCACTTCAAACTGCTGAGTCATTTAATCCTCACAGTAGGAGGGCAGGAGCTGTTTTGTAGTGTTATGTTATCCCCATTTTGTAGATTATAAAATTGAGGCACAGAGAGGCTAAGTATTTGCATATGACAAATGGCAGGTTAGGCTTTGAACTCAGGCAACGTAGCTTCATTTTATGGCCTTCTGTAAAACGAGTCCAATAACCCGAGATCTTATTAAAACCCAAACTGATTCCTATTCCCTTTGGTTCCACCCTACCCTCAGCCTTCATCTGGATTTTCTGGCCCTTCTGGTTAGGACCATGGGTTTGTAATTGCTTCTCTTAATGCAAGTGAAGAACTTTTCCTAGGTCCCGTGGTGTTTAATTGAAAAAATATACACCGTACACACGCACACACACACAGCAAAATGAACGACAGTTTATTAATCAAGAAAGGCTTGATGGGGCCTACAATGACCAGATTAAAACAAAAGTGCAGGGGCTGAGAACCAGGGAGAGAAGGCGTCCCCATCCAGGTCCCAAGGACTTCAGGCGGGCGCTCCGGGGACGCTTCCTCTCGGCAGAGGCCGTGGGAGCGGGTGCTGCACCACCCGCAGCGCCGCGGGGACTTGGGTCCGGTTCC